AATTGTTTCTGTGCAAACTTGGGGTAAAGTTTTGATTAGTTTCCACTTGAAAGTGTACTTGCCTTCCAGAAGTCTTTGTGTCCATCAGCCTGCTTTTGTGTCATGGATGCCATTAATAGTGCTTGAAGTTTCTTCATGTAGCTCAGGTATATCAACTTTATTCACCGAAGATTAGTCTGAAGTCATCTCTAGGCCCATGCTAGATCTTTATGCAGTTAAACCCCAGAAGGAACACAAGTAGCATTGTTTGGAAGATGTGTTGAATTATGCCCTACCTGCAGAGCCTATAAAATTACACGGCCAGTTTTTAGGATGTTTGGAGCCCTTGCAGACCAAGGAAAACTTAAGAACCGTTCAACCAGGTCTGGAAAAGGCAAAGGTCGAAGTCCGTTCTTAAGATGCAGCCAATCCTTGATTTCTTAAAAAAGAAAAAACAAAAAACAAAAAACCCATGTATTAATGAAAAAGAGCGTTGGTATGTATCTCCCAAAGCACGAGATACTCCAAACATCATTGGAGATTTCAGCCGCCACTTTAGCCTCCTGATTCTGTTTTGCTTACCCTATGTTTGAATTCATTTTCATTCTCCTGACACAAGGCAAACATTGGCAAAGGAAGCGATCCCAAGGTGTCCTGAATTCAGGAAGTAACTTTCTCATATTTTGCTCCGGGCTGTTTTCCCCTTGCTAACGGCAGCATTGGAGTTTTCTTTTTGCTTTAATCGACCAGTTCCAATTGTTTGTACAGGGGAAAATGGAGTTGCAAGGAGCATCTATTTTGTAATGTTCAGCACTGTAGGAGAACAGACTGGGGCAGTGCAAGAATGACTATATGGTGTTGCTTGGGAAGCACCCACAAGTTCTTTGAAACAGAATTTGGAACAGCTGGACCACTGCAGTGTTTTATTTTAAAATAGACAACATATGTAATGCATATGGTCCTAGACATGTATGGAGACACAGGCAGACAATCTGAATGGTATCCAAAGACACCTGCACCTAGAATTCTGTTTCCTTCTATAAGATTTTTTTTCCCCCGAACAGCACATGTTCCCACTTTTGGATTTGCAAGATGCCATCTGAATCCCCATGTGTGTGACTCCTTAATAAAGTCAATGGGAAGTTTCCTGGGATGGAAGTGTCAGAATAAGTCAGTTAATAAACACCTCCTCAGGACCTGCCTCCTCTGAGAGCTGGCGGAGGAAAGAACAGATCAGAAACTTGCCCTCAAGGAACATATTATCTAGCAAGGGATTCAACTTGTATGTGGGTGTTCTGACCACAGGAAAATTGGAACGTAAACCAGCAAAAACACAGAGATAGGACGTGCGAATTCGTTGTGCAGGGGCAGAGGAGAAGTACAATGCAGAGAGACTGGGAAGGCTCCCAGCCTCCTAGAAGCAATATGGTTTAAGAAACAACCTGTAACTAACATTAGCCATAAATACAGAGACATCCTTGGCTCGCTGAAAACTTTGATCAAGCTGGCTTCAGGAGCACTAAGAAATTTGCCCACTCATAGCTAAGGTTTATTGAGCACTTACTGTGTGCCAGCTGCCCAGGTACTTCTCAGCAGAACCTCTCAGCAACCTTCCCCCCATTGACTCAAACACTATTCTCCGTTTACATACGAGGAGGACACTCAGAAACACTAATCAGTCTGCGTCACTGTCACATCCCTAGTAATGGCAGGGCTAGCCTCAAATTCAGTCTTTGTGACCCCTTAAGCCCACCCACTTAACCACCTGTTACCCTAGCTCAAATAAACTGTTTGCACTGAGTTTAGTATATCACCATTTCGTTAAATCAAGAAATAGAAAATATTTGTTGAAGGAGTGACTTTATTTATTTTGATGAAATAAATTCATTATTTTAACACCTATGTCTCGAGTGCCTGCTGTGTACCAGGTACTGAGAGATGCTTGTTCTAGGTGCTGGGAATATAGCAGAGAACAAAAGTACCCAATCCCTGCTGGGACAGAGCCGAAAAATCAGACCCCTTCCCCTGACACCTTAAAATAGTGTTCCTGCTCCCCTCCCCACCCCACTCCTCTTTTTCTGAAGAAAATAAGCTCAGCGAGACTCTCAAAGATTTCATGGTAGACAGTCCCCCTTTCAAGCACTGTTGAGTGGTGGGAACCAACAACTCAAGAGGCTAAATCTGGGTAAATGATGATTTTGAGTAAGCAAAATCCAGAGGCTCTTCGTTTTACCTGCTGGAAACTCCCATTGTGTTAGGCTCTATCTTATACATGTAGACGGTGTGCAAAGAGCTTAGGTGACCTCAGCAAGGGCAGTGAAAATCCGGCTCATTTTACGCCCAAGGAAACTGAGTCTCAGAGATTAACAAGCTGGGATCTCTCAGCTCTTTAAAAATAGAGCTCGAACTAGAGTCCAGACCTCCTAAAGGAGTCCCAGGCTCATCTCCATGTGGACCGATAGAGAGAGAGAGAGAGAGAGAGGGAGGAAAGAAAGGAAGAAGGGAAAAGGGATTTTTATGTTGACAGAGTGGCTTTCTGAGAAGGAAAACAGGCTGATTTTAAGCATATTTTTCTGTAAGCCTCCTTTAAAACATAAGTGAAGGCAAAATTGGTCTTTAGATGTACTCTAAGCCAGGACTTAGCCCGGTGAAGCTGTATTGTGATGTATCGGGGAGGCGGGGAGTAGGATCCGGATCCAGGTCTCCACGGAGGAGCCAAGTTGCCTTTTCAGATGCATTTCCTGAGTGGGCAGGCAGCAAGGTGAAATAGTTCATCGCAAAGTTTTCAAGAGGTTCGACAAATAAAGAAGAAGAGACTTGAGACCTGTGTCCTACATTTAACAGCTACGAAAGAGCCCCCTTCTCTCCGAGCTAAATGACCGGTTCCGCCATCCTAATGGAAGAGCAGTAAAATAGCCGAGCCAAACTGGCAAAGTAAGGCCCCCGGGCCGATTTGTCAGCTTGCAGCCTCTTCTGAGAAATCCGAGAGCAAGAAGCTGGTGCTAGCCAAAATGCCTCATCTCTCTGTTAAAATTGGGAGGCACGAGATGGGTGAGGCTTTTTATAAGGATGAGCAATTAGTGGGCTCCGCTGTTATTTTTCCTCGACTAAAGTGACCTGGGACTGAAGGGGGTGGGAGGGCATCATCTGTCCTGAAGGATGGAAAGGTGGCACCTGGATTACAGGTTTGCCCTCCTGCAGGGGTGGGGGTGGGGGGGCGGAGATTTAAAGTTGGAGCAGGTTTAAGACGCTTGCCTCGGGCCAGAGGAATCTCACACAGACATAGTCTAGAAGCAGCTAGCTTTTTCCCCAGCATCAACTTCGGGCCACCTGTCTTAGTAGCCATCCTGAGTCAAAAGGAGAAATACAGCTTGGAGCCCAAACAACCAACAAAAGAATCCTCATAGATAAAGCACCCGACTTCACACTGAAAGCACTTTCTTGAAGACAAATCCGAGGCAATTAACACAGCAAAGAGAATTCTTTCAGATTCTCTAATATAATTCTCACGCGGGTGATATTCCTTCCAAAAGCTTGTGTTTTATCATCTTAATGGAGCAACTTGGCTATTAAAATACACTTTCTTCAACTTGCCTTCTGGAAGCCATTGCTTCTGTGTGTCTAGGGCATAAGCAACACATCCCGTTCAAACACTGACCACTTGCTGCTTCTGTGAAAAATGACTAGAGATTTTGAAAATCTAACAGGAAGAGGGCAAGCATCTGACATACCGTGGATTTAGGTCTGAATGATACACCAAATCTATAATGCGATGAGAAATATTCAGCTTAAAGCCAGCCTGCTACCAAAATTCAAGTTTTCAGTCATACCCCAAGCATAGAAGGGGGGGGGGGGCCCCCCCGCTGCCTGTGATAAAGGGCCATGTATGAAAATCTATCCAAACACCCTCTCAATCAGAAATTGATTTTCCTCCTGTCCAGACAGCATTGCTGGTCCCAGGCAGGTCCCCCCTCTTCCTTCCGGTAGAATATTGCATACCAGGGGATGAATAAACTCTTGCTTAATTTGATATACGATGCTTCTTCTTTGCAGTGAGCATAGCAGGAGAGTGAGTGAACATGAGGTGGAGTGAGCTGATTCCTTTAATGTGTAGGCTCTTCATTCCTACCTCTCCGGGATTTACTTGTTCTCACTTGAGTTGAATTCTGAGTTATTTTGCCGATTGAGTATAGAGTATTTTAGTTACACATATTGAGATTAATTAGTTAGCCCTTAGGAGGTTTTGCTTGCAGCCTTCACCCTGTAAGAAAAAGTGTGAATACATTGAGACTATTAATTCACAATAAATGGCAGATCATAGCCCTTGCTGAGTAAATCTGTTTGTCTCTTTCATAAGCTTTGCTAATTGTAAGCACACTATAAGGCAATGACCTTGGCTATGACAAACCAAATTCCCACTTAACTTATTCTCCAGGTTTCAATGAAAATCTTTTGTTATTATTATTTTCTTTTAGTTTTGGAGGGCGGGGACCCAAATCTTTTGTGAAACCAAATTGGCAACGGGGATTTGGAAGGGGAGGATACAAATATTGTCACTTGGCTGAAAATCAGCATAACCCTTTTTCCAGATAATCCCAATAATTGTAGAGAAATTGCTCTAGATATAACCACTGGAATGGCAGAATCTATTAAAAACCTAAAAAAGCTAACTAGGCTCTTATAAGCAAAGATCCGATCTGCTTTCAGTGTTTGGTGAATTGCAGGCGAAGTTACGGTCGTGTGCTTAGTTTTTAAAGAACAACATAAATGCACTGGAGTTGTGATCATTTGATAAACATATTGATGCCAATATATTTTTGCCTAAATGCAATAAACTCACCAGTAAGTGATGCAAGTTGACAATGGGAGGTAAAAAGAATATCTTGCGGATGTTGGTGGGAGGGAAAGGGGAAACAGCTAGCATTCATAATGCCTAGTGAATTCCTGTGTATTTGAAATGTCAAAGAAAATGTGATGTGTTTCTCTAAATTGTGTCTCTCTCTACATGTATAAATGAACAGACGCAGATAGAGCTCAAAAACATGGCATGGATGAATTTATCTCTTCCAACCCCTGTAACTTTGACCACGCTTCCCTCTTTGAGATGGTGCAACGCCTTACTTTGGATCACAGACTTAATGATTCCTATTCTTGCCTGGCAAGTATATTCTTTGGTCTACAGCAGTTTAAACACGATTAACATTTTTTTTTTAAATGCGGTATTTCTCTACCTTTATATCAAAAGCTCTTTTCTCTGTTACAGAGCCCCTTTAACAATGGTAAATGTGTTCTTGATTTCCTGGGTTGAGATAGTTTTACTTACCAAAGAAGACAGAGCGGGAGGCAGTTATCAGTAGAGACAGATCCAATTCCCCAGCCTCCCCATCTAAGCTTCCCCCTTTTCAGCTGCTACATGAGAAATATTCCCAAGAGGGTAATCGAGTTTGGCACCTGCTTGTGGAGAACTTGTAAAAATTGCCTCGGTTTCTTAAGACTTTAAGATTCCCCCTCCCTCCCCTTCTCAGATGATAAGACCCTGTGCTTCGGTCTCAGAAATGGATGTGTTCTTTTTGTTTATTTTTCAAAAATTAAAATGATTTGTAAATAAATGTCACTTCGCTCTTCAGAAGCCAAACTGGTTTGGATTTGTTTGTTTGGACGGCTTCTTGTTAGTCATAGTATTTGAAGCATTTTTCACCCTTTGGGGGAATTTTTTATGGTGCTTTAGACATTTGGAAGTCCAGCAAGAGCATCAACATTTCTTGAAATCCTGCTCTGAGCCTAGATTTAAATCATTTAAATTCAAGGGACAACTATTATGTCTTTTTAAAAATTCTGTCTTTATTGGATTCCTGAAGATATATTTTGGGCTTTATACTAATCAAATTCAGAAGCCTAAAAAAGACCGGTTTATTTCCTTCTATAAACCGTAAATTGTTACTTCATTTCTTAAAGGTAAATGATATGAATCCCACTTTATAGATGGGAAAGGTGAGGGGACATAACGAAATGACTTTACAAAGAGGAAAAGCCTCATCCCTGACTCTGCACACTAAGGTTAATGTGTCTGTATATTATAATACTATATAATTTACTAACGTTAACATATTATTGACGATAATATAAATATGATGAAATGTGTTTCTTTCCTATGACACGCTATTTCTTCAATCTATTCTTACTACTTTTTATTTTAAATTCTGTTTTTTTTCCTATAACCAGGAGCCAAACTATTAAAAATAGTAGATAAAATAGTCTTAAAAACAGAAACGGGATTATATGGAATAATTTATTAATCTGCGTCTCATAAAAGATTCATTGATGATCTCGGGTTTAGAATCACTTCATCAGAAGAATCTGAACTTTGCCAAATTGGAAAGGAACACATCACTTTGACTTAAAAAAAAAAAAAAAAAAAAAAAAAAGCTTACCTTGCATTGCAAGGCAATTTTTCCCAAATGTGTTTCCTATGATTATGTGATTATTCACATAATTATAAATTGCATTCATGAAAGTTGTAAGAATATGCCGCTGAGCTGAAATCATTCCCTTTTATGCATAATTCCTATTCTCTTGAGGAATTTTTTAAAGTGTTTTATTTTCAAGACTTTTTTCACATCATCATTTTTTAAAACAATTTTCTTTTTCACCAAGAGATTTGTCACTAAGAAGAGTTAGTAAATCCTCTAAAAAATTAAGCCAGAAGTGAAATTTTGAAACTTGCTTTGCATTAATCACATATAGGCTTAAAAATATGCTCCAAAATCCACAATTAATTATGAATAGCATAAAATCGTTTCCCTCTGCATTTGTATACCTGTATCTATTAATCACTATCCCCAAATTTCAGAACATAACAGCAATTAAAAGGACCTTATCTCCTGCCTCTATATATTTCATTTTCTCATTATTACAATCTTTTTTTTTTTTCAGTTAGTTTTGGAGACCGACCAGCAGGGATACATAAATTTTTCTGTGTCTTCGACTGAGTTCCTAATTGATATTTCTTCAACTCTTTTCAAAGCAGCTATTTTGGCATCTACAAAAGACTTGGTGTCATCTGAGTCGTAGAAAATATATTTTAATCTTTCACAGCAGTGTTGTTTCTAAGATTTAGCATTTGGGGTAGCAGATGGAGTGGCAAAGAAGTTGCCTATAGGGGCAGCCCACTGCCTCGACTACTCTCCCGCCCTCTGCAGTAACTTATAATTTGAAATAGGAAAGATGCCGTCTTTCGTTGGATGCATTGCTAAGCTGCGTGTTGTCAATCGAAGATTCCCCAGATCACGGATACAAGATCAGAGTATTGCAGAGGCCTCCCTCTCTGCACTTCTGTGGCCTACACCCGCCCCCTGTCACTGTCTCTTGCCTCTTCTCTCCCAAGGCGGAGAGCAATATTCGAAAGACTTAGAGAGGACCCGCAAAGTAAAATTAGATTTATATTTCAAAGAATTCTAAATTCCTGGCTTACAACATACCACCTAAGCTGGTTCACAGGTTTCTCCCCACTAACGAAAAGTTCTCTTCAAGCCACTTTGCTTTTGCAAAGACCTCCATTAGTACTTGTTTTCAATAACCAAAAGGAATTCAAAGAGGACTTTTCGCTTGTACAAAATGATTATTGCTTCTCCACTATACACCACTTTGGCTTATGAAAGGTTTCACGGGAACGTTCCTTTTTCAGACAGTGAGGGAAACCTGTGGGGTTTTTTAATTTTTATTTATTTATTTTTATTTTTATTTTTGCTTCGGAAAAGTACCAAAACCAAAAGAAGTGATTTGCTTTCAGGCTTGGCTGAAGGGTGACCTTGAGTGGATAGTCTCTCAGCCTTCCTGAGCATCTATTTTTTTTAAGGGCATCATGGAGGCAGCAATTTCTATGCCATCATGCTTCCCAACTGCTCTGAATCAGAGATTCCATCCAGATTCTCTTTTATAGCAGCGTTTCATCTGGTCATACAGCAAGCAAATAATGAGAAAACAAATAATTGCCAGGGGAAAAAAAATAAAGCAAAATGCTAAGGCAGGGCCCAAGAAGCACCTTGGAGTTTAATTGTGTCCTGTCTGGTTCACAACTTGAAAACTTAGTCGCGATGCTCTCTTTGCAAAGTTTGGTCAGTATCTTCATTATAAAATTTTTAAAAGATTTCCTTTCAGAGGGAAAGAATGTATGAGGTCCTAAAATGTATGTCGACCAATCCTAAAATCTTTAGTGCTTCAGAGTAGGAAAAGCAGAAGACATGAAATAAGCCAGGTCTACTTCTGTTTTATATTATTTGTGAGTCCCTGAACAGCCCTGATTTGTTTCCTCATCTGTGAGATGGAGATACACCTGCCCTGTCTACCTCACAGGATTGCTGTGGGGCTCCAGCAAAAGTTCTTTGTCAAGTATAAAGCACAGTACCAATATAAGACGTCATGTTACTGTTTTCTCGTATAAGTAACCAAGCTCTCACCCTGTCTCCACCCCAACATTCTTAGAAGGTGTAAGGTTCAGTGTTAGAGCAGCGAGTGCGATTGTGTTTCTGGAATCATGCTGTCTGCTAATCTGGACTCCACCACTTACTACTTCTGGGATGCTAGGGAAATTCCATGTCTTCCCTTGAGTTTCCCACCCATCCAACAGGGAAAACAGGGCCTACCCCATAGTGCTGTCCCACAGGGTCAAAGGAGCCAGCACACACACAAGGCGGTTAGCACAGTGGCTGGGACTTTAGAAGAAATCAGCAAGTGTTGGCTCTCGAAATTTTTAAACCCCCTTTTCTAGTTACTTCCAACTGTAGCAGCTCTCCAAAAAGCAAAACAAAACAAAACAAAACACAAAACAGCAACACAAAAAAACCTGTATTTAAAAGAAAGTCTCTCCTTTATTCCCCAAACAGGGCTGGTTCAGTCCTGGCCAGGTGTTTGTCCTAGACGAGTATTGCGCCCGAAACGGAGTCCGAGGGTGTCATCGACATCTCTGCTACCTCAGAGACTTGCTTGAACGGGCAGAAAATGGCGCCATGATTGACCCCACCCTCCTTCACTACAGCTTTGCCTTCTGTGCATCCCATGTCCATGGGAACAGGTAAGCACTTGTCCAGAGGTATTCCTCAAAAAAAAAAAAAAAAAAAAAAAAGATCTTTTTTTAAGGCACTGGCAATGGTGTATGACTTGTCCTGCTTTTAGAATTGTCTCTAACTCTGTATCCCTTCCTGTTCCTTCTGTGGTACACACACACACACACACACACACACACACACACACACACAAGAACACACACACACACACACAAGAACACACGGGTCTTAGTTTCCTCTCTGTTCAAAAAACTTAAAAGAAATGGCAAACAGGACTTCTAAAGTGGTCTCTGAAGGTAGAACAATCTTGGTTCAAATCGTGGCTCCTCCGTTTACTAGCAGACATGCTGGATGGCAACTGAACCCTCCATGCCTCAGTTGTCTCATCTGTAAAACAGGGATGATAGTGTCCTCATGGGGTGTTTAAGAGGATGCATGTGGGCTCAGCACAATGCCTGGAACATGGCAAGAGCCTCATAAATGTTTACCTTTCTTGTTGCTATCATTCGTTCCATAAATATTTAGTGATTATTTACTGAGTGCCAGGCACTCTGGTATACGTTCAGCGTACATGGTGAGCAAAACAAGGCCCCGAACAAGGGCAGGGTTACAGGGAGAGCCAGGCTCTGAAAAAAAGCAGTAATATTCCTTACTAGCATTTGATAAAGGAAGACAGCTCAGACGGCGTGTGAGGACGGCAGGGAGGGTGTCCCTGAGGAAGAGATATTGGGCTGAGAACTGAAGCACATGTAGAAGTTGAGTGCTTCCAGGCAAAAGGAACAGCGTGTACAAATGCCCTGCAGACGGAGAAAGCCAAGCACACTTCAAGAGCTGAAAGCAGCTAGGTGAAGCTGGAAGCTAGATACTCATAACACTTACAGTTTAACCATAGAGCTGGGAGGAACTTTAGAGATCACAGTGTAACCCACCCCCTCATTTTATAGGTTTTCTAGACAAGACCAGAACATCAGTTCTCCTAACTCCACACTAAGTACTCTCTTTCTTTAGACGTTGCCCAGCTCCTGGAGGAAAAGATCCATGTTCTGAATAATGCAAAGCGGCAAATAATTTAAGAACATTACCATTTGGCTCTGAAGACATGGAATAAATTTCCACATTGCCACAGCCAGTTTACTATCCCAATGTATGTAGCCTCACGTTGCTATAAAGACAAGCCTGCGTTCCCTCGAGCACCACCTCAACCGGTAGCCAGGAAAGGCACATCCAGGAAAAACTAGGTGGCTTCCGAACCCCGAAAAAGTTGGTGCTGCATTTATTTTAAATCAGACCGTCAGTTATCTTCATCTTCGCAAGCTAGAGGACTCTGAAATATCTGTGGGATTTGTTGTGTGCTTTTCCTCTCTCTAGTGCTGGGAGGTTTGATGAGATACAACCTCAACATTTAGAACTAGGTAACAATAGCATTGTAGGTTTGAATATTTAACAGGCAACGAGGTTTTCATCACCTCCCATTGTTATAAGGTTTGCTAGCCCCACACATGACCTTTTATTTACATAAAAAATATTTATGAAAACTCTGATACCTGGGGAGTATCTGTGCATAACTCTGCTTTTTATAAATATGTACACTTTGATGACTGTCTGTTACAGCCTCTTGGACTGAGTTCTTTAAAGAGAGAGAGAGAGAAGTTGCATTATATTCTCTGGGTTGTCACACTGTATTCTACATATGTTACTGAATAAGAAAGTGTTATAAAATAATGAAGTGTTTTTGTAAACTCCCTGGTAAACATCATCATGAATTATGATACACATTGTCTGGATTTCATATTGTAAGACTGCCACTTGATTCACAGTTAGGTTTATACATCTTGTCATGGAAACAGTTTTGGATTTCTTATTTTCTTTTCAGTTCCGATTTTCCTTATGCAAGTTTGCATCTTTTTTTTTTTTTTGCTTATTATTTTAGTTTGAATGCATTTGCTCTTGCTGTTTGATGCATCCTTCTTTTTCTTTCTTCTGTTTGTGCATGTATGTGTGCTCTTGATTCTCCTGTGGCTGGCCACACTCTGTGCATGCCCCATGCGACCACCCCCTCTCCAAAGTCAACAAATGCATGCATATCTTAGTGGGCTGCTACCAAATACAGACCCTGAAGGGAGCAAAACTCCCTCCCCATCTGAACCAGAGGCCAAAAAAGATACCAAAAAGGAATCCAAAAAAAGAAAAGATTGCAAAACCCAGGCAAATCCAGGGCCCAAAAGGTAAGAAGTTAACGTGTCTATTGGCTTGTGTTTTGCATTGTCTATGCCGTTCCCTCCGTCCACGCCATGACTTCCACCTTAGCAGACAACAAGCTTTGTGTATATCTGAAGTCTCTGTTCCTTTAAGGTTCTTCAAAGGTATACTTTAAAAGAAAATCGTAGGCATGGGCAGAATACCATGTATTAGGACCGAATTTGAGTCAGGTGTTTAGTGACTCTTAGAACATTTTCGTATTGAAAAAACTGAGCAGGGGCGCCTGGGTGGCGCAGTCGGTTAAGCGTCCTACTTCAGCCAGGTCACGATCTCGCGGTCCGTGAGTTCGAGCCCCGCGTCAGGCTCTGGGCTGATGGCTCAGAGCCTGGAGCCTGTTTCCGATTCTGTGTCTCCCTCTCTCTCTGCCCCTTCCCCGTTCATGCTCTGTCTCTCTCTGTCCCAAAAATAAATAAACGTTGAAAAAAAAAACCTAAAAAAAAAAAAAACTGAGCAATGTGTAAACAGAATCGTGAATCAGATTGCTTTTTTAGTGGCATCTAGTTAAGGACCTGGTACCTTACCAAGTCATTCATAATAAGCAACCCGTGCTTTGTAATTTTGAAATTATGTTTAAGGAGCAAATAGAATGGGTTGTCATAAGACGGGTCTATACATTTATAGTAGCTACATCATTTTTAGCAAACCCTTCTCAGTTCCACATTGATCTTATGAAACAAAGCTATCTTTAGATAATGACTTATAATAACACAAAGCAAAACCTATCACCAAACGAATGGCTCTTAGTAGAATCACTTATAGAATGAGGTCACCTTGAAGCCACTTGCAAGTTCTAAAATTGTATTTATCCTCTTCTGTTTTCTTTGTCCTTTAGGGCTAGTCTCATTGTGAATTGATAAAAATGGCAAATTGGTGACTTTTCCCCCTTTAAGCTAGACTAGCAGTTATTATCCAGTGTTATCCTTATGTCCTTCCTCACCTTCCCTATCCTCACCACAAATTAATATTGTCCTTTTAAAGTTTTGTTGTTGTGGTTTTGAAACTGATATTCTGACCTGGCATTACCAAGAGACACAAAGTTCATAAGCAGGTATGTTTTACGCTTTCGGTATGAATTTGTTCACTGGAATAATTCTAAGTCCTGAAATATATACAGTTCACCTGTAGGCAGAGTAAATGAAAATACCAGCTTTAGTTCCTAGAGAATGTGGCAGGCTGTCAATCAACATGTATCGGTCTGATAGGGAAGGTGAAAGAAAGCCCCGATTCCATGTGGACACCTGCTTTTCAAAGTTGCAGCATGTAAGGATGGAGGTGAAGTGAAGTTTCTGTTTGTGTTGCCCTAACGAGAGTCAGATTGCAAAGCAATGGTAGCTTGCAGCCAGTGAGAAAGCACACAGAGAATGCTGCGTAGGTACCCTAAGAAGCCTCTCTGGGTGCTGTCCAAGGTGCTGAGTGATCGGCATTGAAACCGAAAGCAAACCGCCACACTTGATTGAGACTGCCCTGTGCCATGAAAAACTATCCAAAAGGATCTTGAATGGTACTTTGATGAGCTTATGTGTGTTCCAGGGTCTATGTGTATATTGCAGGTTTTGATGCAAATGAAATCATAGTATCAAATACCAGTCATGTAGCATTCTGCAGTTTATCCTTTTATACATTCCGTCTCATTCGCTGTAACATCTTCAGGTTATTTTTTACATCCATTTTGTGGAGGATGAAACTGAATGTCTACAAATTTAAGTGGCACACTCAGATATTCTTGAGTCCAAAGCTCTTCCTCTTTGCACTACATCAGCGTCGTGTGGAGGTTCTAAAGATCTGAGTTTGGAGTCTGTTCTGCATAAATCCAGAATTATCGTATCTTAATTCTGTGCCTCAGTTTTCTCATCTGCAAAATGAGCATGTAGTATCATAGCACCAGTAATATCCTGTCAAACCCTAAAATTATCTTCTATAGATTATAATAACAAATTAAATAAGCCACTGTCATATTCCATAAGTAAAGTTTAATTAAATTAAGGATAATTGCTGCCATTTAGTAAGTGCTTGCTCTATGCCAGGGACTGTGTGTAGTGCTGTTTAGATTTATTATCTCATCTTATCCTTATTACATCCCAGGGAAATATTACTATTTGTTTCATCTAGCAGATGAGTAGCAGATGAGGAGTTTGAGGCTCAGATAAGTTCAGTGACTTACTCTGTTGCAAATAAGTTTGTGATCCCAGTTCAAAACACATAGTCTGACTTTGGAGCTTGCATTTGTGTCTGGTGTAAGATGCCAAATTCAGCCATTTGAGAGGAGTTTCAACATTTCCGGGCTGGATACTATCACAGTCATCTGAATTAACTAAAGAGTTTTCTAATTTTGTCCTAAAGATGTCCAAAATCAATATGGCTTACCTGGTAATTTTGGCCTTGTGAAGGAAACCAGAGTGTATCTGGAGTTTTAGACCACGTAAGAGCAGAGTCTCCTCTGAGCATTAATGAACAACCTTTTGGTGTGGGGAAACCATTTTCCCAACTTTTTTTTTTTTTTTTAACCAGGATGAACACTATTTGCATGTGAAGGTTATCTATTCTTTGGCCCAGATTAAGAAGGCAGTCATGACTCATGGAAACAAATTGCCCTTTAATTGAATTTAACTGAACAATAGAAGCCATTCCTGTTGTCGTTTCACAAGCAGCTTTAGATTAGGTAAAATATAGCTTTTTACATAATCATTAACTTTTTACCTATTAATAACTCAGCATACCCAGAGGTGGAGGGAGAGCCCTTTCCTGCTGC